CCCACCAAACTGGCATTCCTCTTGTCAGCTGCATCTCTCCGAACTGGACTGTCTTCTGCGGGCCAATGGTACAGCTAAGAAAACATGCCGCAGGCATTCCGCTGAGAGTCTACGATCAGCGTACAAAAACAATAACAACAACGAGCCGACAAACAATTGGAGCAAAATTCAATAATAGAAAAAATCGTAAATATCAAAAGCCACACATAAGGAAATAAAGCATACACACACACACACACACACAGACGTACACGCACACCTGCATACACTTGCAATACAAATCATTTGTTGTTTGCGTTGACGCCGCGTACAAAAGGAATCAAAGTTCAATTTTTCATTTCGTCACAGCTTTGGATGGTGATGCTTTAGCGCGGTCAAAGTACAAAACGGGCCAAGTGTAGAGCCATAACCACCAATACATACACAGAATGCGGCCAGCATACAGCCACAAGCAGCCGCAATCACCAACACCGCCACCGACACCGCCAACGCCAGTCATCACCACTCATCGAAATCAGCGACGCCACTCATTGCGCGCCACGTTTCGCGCACTTTCAGCGCTTGTGTGTGTGTGTGTGTGTGTATGTGCGTAGAACTCGCTCGCAAGTCAATAAATATTGTCGCTTGTTTCTTTCTTGCTGATTGGCGAAAAATCAAACAAGTGCGCGAAGTAAAGCAACATTTTCAGAGATTACAACGATTGCCATAGAAATGTTTTTAAATAAATTGTTATAATAACAAAAACAAATCAGCTGAAATATTCGTGCTTGAATAAAAGCTGCCGAAGGTACGCGCCGGTGCCTGCGTTGATGGGAGCCGAGCGTGCTTGTTGATTGCGATGTGCTGGCTTTTACTCATACTCGTACATACATACATACATATACAGTCGTAAACAAAGGTTTTTGGTTTTATCAGCAGCTGCTGGACATGCACACACCCACATCAGCAGCACCTGTTTGTCTATAATGTTAATTGAGCCGCTTGAAAAGTGGTTTTTATGTGTGCGTTTAGCGAATGTGTCATCGAATATATTCAATTGGATTTTACACAATAATTGAATTTTGTTTGCTACTGCGAAGTCATCTATGGGACACTAGTACGGGAGTAGTTGCAAAAACTAGTTGTAAAATATTCTAAGAAAGTATAACTTTCTATTTAAAGAAAATATAATGAAGTATTAAAGAAAATCTAAGTGGTTCTTTTTTCACTAGTTGTGGACTAGTTCACAATTTTAATTCAAAACAAGTGATTGAGCAAGTTAGAAACGAGGCGTTGTTTTACGTATGTTTATTTAGCCAATTTTTTTTGAAAAAAACTGTAGTCTTCACAAGTTGCATGATTAAGCATGGTTAAGCAAACTTATTTCTACTAGTTGTGGTTTAGTTAGGAATCGGACTTCACACATATACAACGATTATCTTTATTAAGGGAGGGGAACTTGGTGTTTTTATGAAAGTCAACGGTTTATGCAACGGTCAACTTTTAAGACTTATATACTGGAAATATGTTCAAATGTACACCGGTTCCGAACTAGTATGGTAACCATTTTGAGAAAATATGATAAGGAATAATATTAATATTAAACTTAATTTAAGTGTTCCTATTTGCACTAGTTGCCTACTGGCTGTCAATTAGACTCTGAATTTAGATACAAATACGCATTGATTTAGTAAAGATTCGCTTCGGCTCGAGCTGGTTGGGTGGCCATTAAAATGTCCCACCTAACCATTTGGATTCATTGAACCTTTAGCATTAATCTGTTTTGAACTGGAAATAAATTTAAATACAATTTTATTTTAAATTTCACTATTTGGCAGTCTTTCTTTCGTAGACATTTCAGTGTTGACCCTGACCGCGCGTAGAAGATTTTATCGTCGTCAGTTTAGTCGGAATATTTTAATATAACATAGAGCTAATTTTTTTTTCGTTATTTTTTTTGTTGTGTTTAATTTAAAAAACTGTCTGTCATTCTCTACGCACACGCATTCGTGTGTATGCATGTATGTGTGTATTGACACAAGCACAACTTGTTTATCACCGAAGTATTTTTGGGTATTTTCAGTTATACAAATACATTTATACATACATATGTACATATGAAAAATAGGAACAAAAATTAATGATAGATATAATAATAAAAAATATTTAGAGAAAAAAATAAAAAATACACATTTGCATACATATTTACTTTGTATATCTATTATATTCGCTCGTAGAGAGATTTGCGATTATTTACAATATTATTATTTTTTTTTTTTGTAGACTTTTAACTGGGACTTTTATTTTGCTTTTGAGTAGATAAAACCTGTGTAGAGCTCTCTCTCTCCTTCTGAATATCCCGTTGAAGGATAAAATTCTTGACAATGAGGTTATGTTGCTCTCAGCGGGTTCAGCCTATCGCATATGCGAGTACATACTCTTTCTTATATTAAATTTGTTTTCTCCAGCCTTTTTTGAAATTCGCACTGATTTCAAATTATAACTGTTTCGAATTCTGTTTGATGCGCAAAAATTAGTAAGCCAACAAACTCAATTATAAAAATGAAATATATTTATGAATGTGTTTGTATGAATGAATTTTTTATAAGCGAATTTGTACAGTTATACCCATACCCGTATTCATAATCCACATTCGCTTTCAATAAATTTGCACGCGAAAACTGGAATCACCAAAAAGTTATCACCCATTTTTAGTGATAAGATGTGAGCGAGTTCGTTGGAGGTGGCGATGCTTGCTGGCAGAATGGCATATAAACGCATGCATATAATATGTATATATGTGAATATGTATACATTAATCTAGTTCTTTATCAAAAGCTTGCACTGTCGACGACATGCAAAAATAACATAAAATTCAAAAAAAATAAAATAAAATTAAATTAAATTAAATTAAATTAAATTAAATTAAATTAAATTAAATTAAATAAAATAAAATAAAATAAAATAACATAAAAATAAAATAAAATAAAATAAAATAAAATAAAATAAAATAACATAAAATAACATAAAATAAAATAAAATAAAATAGAATAAAATAAAGTAAAATAAAATAAAATAAAATAAAATAAAATAAAATAAAATAAAAGAGAATAAAATAAAATAAAATATAATAAAATGAAAAAATAATATAAACTTAAATAACATAAATTAAAATTAATAATGAAACAAAATGAAGTATGTATCAGAAAATAAAGTTAAATAAATACCTAAAAAATAAAATTAAACTAAATAAAAAATAAGATTAAATAATATAAATAAAAAGAATATTATAACATAAAATATAAGAAAAAATTAACAAAAAAATAACATAAAATGAAATATTATTAAATAAAATAAATAAAATAAAATAAACTAAAATATAATAAATGTAATAATAATAATAAGTTAAATAAATATAAATAAAAATTAAAATATAATAAAATAAAATAAATAAACTAAAATAAAATAAAAGAAAATAAATAATAAAAGAAAATAAACCAAAATAAATTAAAAATCAAAATAAAAAAAAAGAAAAAAGTAAAACGAAATTAAATAAATAATAACGTAAAAAAAGAAATAAAAAATAAAAATTCAAATAAAAATTTTTTTGTATAAATAAAAAATGGCAAAAAATGTGATTTTTTTGGGTTTTTATTTATTATTATTATCTTCAATTTTATTTTTATTATTTTCAATTGCTTGGTGATGATTACCACTTTGATAAGAAATTAGCAAGTTGTTAAATGCGCAAAAATTTATGCGCCTTCACGCCTTAGGTACACATGTATGTATGTATGTATGTACATATTTTAACATACATATGTACATAATATTTGTTTTCTACATAAAGATGCACATGAATTTTCTTGCATGTATATGTGTATGTACATATGTATGCATTACCTGATTGTAATGAAACTAAGAAAAAAAACCAAAAAAAAAGCTCAAATAATACCAAACGGATGCAAAGCGGATAACATACATACAGAGGCAAAAATTTAAACACCAAGAAGATTTTATTTATTTTAATATCAGATCGGTAATTAATGTGTACGTATATATGTGTGTATGTACTATATGTACCTTAAAACATAGTATTTACTTTATATGTGTATGTAGAGTGTTAGTATGTATGTATGTATGTATGTATACACACGATCGCATAACTCACACTTTTGGCATGTTGTTATTGTATTATTGCTATTTGCTTTAAAATTTTATTGAAGACGGTAGCTGATACCGCTGCTGCCGTGAGTCGCGTTACTTTAACGCCACTGCGACGTCGCACACTTGCATGCTTCTCATTCCTCAATTTCGATTTTGCACTCACTCTTGCCACTATAGTGACGACTAATAAATAGCGCTCACACACACGCGCATGACCGGCTTTGCATAGCTACGTATTATACATACATGTGTATGTATGCCTCTAGAGCCAGTGGCCAGCCCCAAAACGCTCGTCCAGCGCTGCTATTGACACTGATACATTGGCGCAGCGTCGCACAGCATAGCATACCTTGGTAGGGCAGCGCCGCAACGTAACGTCGCGTATTGAGCGGCACGATATCGGTCGCGGTTTCGGTCTGTGTCTCAGCTAACGCCACCAACGACAACGACGCTCGTAATCACTGTTTCCTTAACAATTTCGCCAAGACTATCATTGGCATTACTAAGACAGTTTAGTCCAAGTGTAGAACGTTTATTGCTTTAGTCGCTACTTTTGCATTTATTTATACGTACATATGTATGTATGTACGTGTGTAGTAAATTTATAAACATGCATGTCTGTACGGGTGATACGACAACACCGACCGACCTAAGAATGCTCGCTGCGACTCACCGCTGATTAGTCGACTACTACAACTTCCAGTTAACTGTTGACATCGTACATTGGCTCGCGGGCGTTCAAAAATAAAAAAATACTACATATTTGCTGTTACGGGCATAAGGAAAATATTCGTATAATATAATATATAAATGAAATATAAAAAATAAATAAATCAAATTAATAAGTTCAAAGAAATAAATATTGTCCTGATAACGAGTGAAAGTACATACATACATGTCTACATACAAATATACAATCAAACAGAAACATTGCCTATAGTGCATTTCTGCATAGTATATGTATATATATATATGTATATATAAATTTATGACAATTTTTCCGGAATATGACATCAGTCCTACGTCGCGATACAACTTTTCCGCCTTTTCAAGTGCAATTTAACATTTAAATAGGAAAAAGCGAAAAAAAACGAAAAATACTCAAATCAAATTCAAATTCAAAATCAAATAAAACAATACAAAGTAACGCATGTGCACTATACACACATACAAACAAACATATCCGTCTACCTAGCTGCATTTAGCGCACGCGAAAAGCTCTGAGGTGTGATTTGTTAAGAATTCTATGCAAATTTTCAAATAAAGTGTGTGGTTATTGTGTACTTAGTCCAAGCCAAAAGTGACTGTCAAGGCAAAATAGTTATTTTTTTTCGTATTTTTCTTAGTAAATATTAAATATTTGTGTTTACAAAAGTTGTGTATTGCGAAAATAAACGAAAAAAACAGAGTCATCGATTAGTCTTACGTGCATTTGCTAGTTTTATTTACACACAATATTTGCCTGTGACGCGTTTTGAATGCGTTTTAACGATTGTTTGGAAAGTAACTCTCCACTGGATGCATCAGTTTTGCTAGGAGATATGTTAAAAATGAAGACCGAAGTCATAACGGGTGGTAGTAGCTTTGATGAGTCCTACATCTTTGAGGATAACCTCTTGCGCATGATCGGTGAGTTGAAAAGTTGAAAAGTGGACGATAAGGTTAAAATAAAATAATAAAATAATTTTAAATAATTTCTCAATTAGTTCATATTTCCAAAATAATTGCATATCTAATAGTTTTATATGTATCTTAATTATTATTATTATTTTTTTCATAACATTTTCAACTTTCTACGTGCCATTTTTTGAAAAATTAAAGCTGGCTTTTATATGAGTCAGTCGCTTGAAACTAATTTTTCATACTTAAAAGAATGGTGTATATTCAAGCTTTTTATATAAAGCTAGTTACAAAATTAAAGGGAAATAAAATAATGAAAAAATGTAAACAAATATTTGTTTTTAAAACAAAATTAGACTGTCTCAACGGCAACACTGAACTACAAATAAGGCTGTAGTTCTTCACTTTTCACTATTCAAAACCTCCTTCCAAATGAATTATTTTAAAATTCCGAAATGTCTCTAATAACTTTATTTGTATCTTGTTTAGTTATGACACACATAATGAAACTGTTGCTCTTTTAACAACTAATATCTTTGAATCACTACAGTTTAAATAAAACCACACACTTTTACAAAACAAATTATAATTCTGTATTTCAGTAGAAAACTTATTTTTCGTTTAAATAACAAATAAATCTTGAATTTGATTATACTTGTTGCACTTGTTACTTCTTTTTGTCCTCCTCGTATTTGTAATGCAATAGTTTACAATCATCTTCTGATATCTTAATCCAACCATCTTCTTTCAAATGATAAACACGTATAATACCACCAGAATATGCATCCCTGTAGGTAGCATGGTAGATAGCGCGTCTACCCAAATCATAAGCTTCTGCATCTTCCAAATCATATTTATAGCCAGAATCCAAAACACCATAGGCAAATATCGAACCACTGCCAACGGAGAATACATTGCCTGGCGAACGTGAGCCATCCGAATCTACATAGTATAGACCGGCACCTTTATCATCATAACCGGCTAACATCATGCCCATACTCAAACCCATGCCTTTGTATTCATGTGCTATATTTGCCATAATTTTACTAGCAGCCGCAACAGAAATATGCTTTCTATTACGCAGCTCATGTAAACGGCATTCCTTGGCGAGTACACGATCCCAGTACACACAATCGGCAGCACCGCCAGCCAATGTGCCCAGCAAATATTTATTGATTTCGACAATTTTTTTCATTTCTTGTGAACCAATAAACTGGCCACCAGTCGCACGTGAATCAACTGCTAGAATGACACCACCCTTATATTTGAAGCCCAAGGTTGTGGTGCCATGGTCAAAATCAGCTTTAATGCCATTCTTTTCACCAGCTGCATTCATTGCCTTCAAATCGACAGGCTAAAAGAAAGTTAACTAATTAGAAACTATCAGTCCACTAAGTTCTTCATTTATGTACTTACTCCATTGGTTGGTGGTGCGAGTAGACGATATGGATTCGTGAGGTTACACGTTTGTTCCATAAAATTCATAGGAACATTATTGTTCTTCCTCATATATGATGCACTTGAAATACCAGATATTTCCGCTAAAGCCATTGTTAATAAATTCTTTTATATTTTCACCAACTCGACAGTGACAAACAAAATTTTCATAAGCAAATCAAAATAAATTACGTCTGCTTCTTTTTGACGTGCCTGTGCTAGGTCACAATGATATTGGGATGGCGCTGCCAGCTTTGAATTTTATAATTTTTATGTGTAATTTTTTGAATTAGTCAACACAAATGAAATCCACAAGCTCATGATAATTAAGCATTTTTGTTTTTGAAATAAGTAGTTATTATGCATAATTGCAAGCATGTGCGAGATGTGTTTGTGTATGTAGTATAAATAAAGCACCATAAAAATGTAAATAAAAGCGAATTTAATAATAAAACACTTATTTATAATATTATAAATATTTATTTTATACACTTATGCTTATTTATAATTTATTTATGTAGACATTTACGAATACTACTAGCTCTTGTGAAGCTAATTGATAAGCCAACAACGGCGATATAAACGTATTTATTTGCACGTGCAATATGTTCACGTTTATATAATACATTCATATATAAATAGTACATATGTTTTTATAATTTTATAATAGTTTATAATTTACTTAGTTTGCTAACGTTATGTTATTATTAACAATTATCAATCAAATGAAATGATATGCTACTTTTTGTTTGAATATCTCTCGCAAGCTTTGCATTACCAACCGTGTTACGAGGAAGGGGAATACTGCCTCAGAGAGAGAGAAAGAGATAGATGGAGAGAGAGAGAGAAAGAGANAGAGAGAGAGAGAGGGGGAGAGAGAGAGAGAGGGGGAGAGAGAGAGAGTTCAATAATTAAGGTCACTATTTCATATAAGAGAAGGCAACGTGGTCCTCATTAAGGCCTTCCGGGTCCCTCACACTCTCTCCTGTAGCCTAACGAGGAATTTTTCTGGGATTCTTCACCCCTGCCCGAAGGAACATAGTTTTGTCTCACACTACTTTTCGTTTTCTACTACATATTCAATAAAAACAATTAAATTTCAATTCAATAATATATTATATATATTTACTTGGACGGGAGGGATTAGATTCATAGCCAAATAAGCGGCGGGAGAAGGTGAGAGCAAAGCTACGAAGTTAATTATTTAATGAAAGTTAACAAATTGTAATTATTATATAATTTATTAGCTGTTATTAAATACTAATTAAGTCATACGATATATTAGAAAAAGACAAGAAATATACAAATAAATTAAAATATATAATTTTTTTTAAATGTAGTAGTAAACGAAAGAATTGGAAAACAAAACTACGTTCCATCGGACATGAAAGGCCTTAGGAAGACCACGTTCGGCTACTGGAAGAAAAAGAGGGTTGCCGGAGGGCCTAAAAGATAACCGCATAACTTATGGGCAACCATTAGCCACCAATAAGACTTAATTTGCAACCTAATCGATCCCCGAAAGAGTGAAATACTTATTTCTATCAATTCTCTGCTCTCAGAAGATTTTGTGCTGAGAAATGATACGATTTTTTTATAAAAGTATTTAGGCACTGAATTAAAACTGAAAAAAGTCTTTAAGAATTTGTGTTTTACCGGCTGTGCCTTCTCCGAGTGATAAAAAAGAGTGTTGGCATAAATATTATTGTTCTGCCTAAACTCAACCCCCCTTTACAAATGCTGCCCCGTATTCGAAGAATTCGTGTAATTGCCTCATATATTTATCGATTTGTGAAGGCCATCGGTAAATGCTCTAATCTAGATTAATACAATTTAATGACTCAATTAAAGTCAGAACGTATTAATTTAACAGTATTTTTAGTTGTTATTTGATTTACTTTGTTGCGAATTTGTAGCTTGCAAGCTTTCTTCCAACTGCATGTCCACATTCTGCGTTCCTAACCAAAGCCCACAAATATTTGCAGCAAAAATATGAAATGATTAATCAATTATCAAAGCAATATTATCGATAATAATAATAATGTCATAAAAAGTTATCGCGGTTATTTCTAAATTTTATTTTATTTCAACGCATTTTTTTTATTCATTTGAAATTTTATGACCCACACCGCTGCTAATGCCAAGCTGCAGTATGCGGCCGCCACCCAAAGAGGTGGCAACGTCGACGCCGCCGGCGATGCAAACTACGCCAATGGCAATTATGATTTTTATAAATCTTCAAGTACAACAGCGTAATTATTGAAAATTGTACGGAGAAATAATAAATGAAAAGACGATAAAAAGTGCGAATGCAAGTATGAGTGTTAGAAAAAATCATTCCGGTGATAAGATAAACCTAAATTGCTTTGCATACACATACACGTATGTACATATAATACATATGTATGTATGTACATGTGCAGCTAACCTGTTTAATCAGCACACTATTTATATAGTCAATATAAATATCAATTAAAGATCGTACAAATTCACACATTTGCAAGTGCACATATGCATGTACATATGTACAATATTTATGTATGTATATATTTGCACCTATGCATATCGGATCATGCATATCAATGCTGCATGTTTGTATTTGAAATGCGATTAACCTTATAGCACCACAGCTAATACCAGCTAGTTTTTTCTTACATCATGAATAACAATAATTTCTTAGTTTTTTTTTTCATCCACCAATTGCAATGGCCTGCGTTGGCAACTGAAATATACATACGTTTTATATACAAAAATACAGTTGTGTGCTTGTATAAATATGTATGGTGAAAAAAAAAATCAAATAAAAATAAATATATAGAATATTATCGTTAGCCAATAAAAGTTAATGATTGAACCCCAATTAAGTTGTTAATAGATCTAGTGTAATTTTATGCATTTATACTTTTTGTGTTCACTATTTTTTTATTAATTAAAAATACTAAAAAATCTAAAAGCAAAGATTTTATTAACCCTAAAACATTTAGTTAACACCGGGATTAGAACCGAAATTCCAAGAAAGCTCTCACGTTTTTTTAAAATATACTAAACCGGGAGTTTAATATTTCAAATAATAGTTTTTAAACTAATTTTTGAATTATATAAAGTAACTTAAATCAATATTGAGCACCTTTTTATTTGTGAACTCTTTGAAAAATGCCACTCTGTCTTTTAACCTGAAAAAACTTCAACTCTTTGAGAAACATTGTGAATGATAGCAGCTGTAAGAACAAAACCGATATAACGTATTTTTTTTTTATTTTCTCCGTTGAATTGTCATTAACGTTGGAAGAATTATTAAATGTATTTACTGCGTAATAATATTCGAGTTCGAGTCGTGGTGTGACCAACATACAAAATTGTAGAAAATTGATTTTTGGATTTTCGGCCGCCTTTTGGCACGCAATATGTCAAGCCCTATGAGTGTATTGCTGGCATAAAATAAAAGCTCCGCAAAAAAATCCCACGGACGTTCGTAGGCGGCTTAGGTTGAATTGTAGGTCCCTTCAAACATGAAAGATGCAGGCCACAAATTGTGGGAGGAGCTCAGCCGAAAAATTGCTTCAGCGCTTACAAATCGCCAAAAATTTGTTCTCGAGATCTGTAGTTATGCAGACAAGGAGACTTAAGAAATTAAACTTTGAGCAAACAATAAAACATATTTGGTGCATAATATTTGTTCATGTGCATGAAACTAAGTGATACCATTTATGTCAAGTATAAGTTTTTCCAAAAAAAGATTAGATTTGAAAATCTTGATTCTTGGAATTTCTCGAAATGTTGCTGCAACCAACTGGGATATTAAACATTTATGGAAATGTTTCTAAGAGCCAGCTACGTTTTTAGGTCATGAAACATATGTATGTGTGTACATATAAAAAATATTAATAAATAAATAAAAAAAATCCCGAAAAGATTTTGAGTCCCTCCCAACATTCTGTTATTTTCCAGCACTAAATCGCTTAATAAATACCTTAATAAATACCTGCTAGTTATTATTAGAAATGATTTAGCAATTTTTTGTTTAACAAATAATCATATTGTACTCATATACATACGTGTACGTAATTAAATACATCTGTAGGTAGTGGTAATGTAGTGAAAATGCTTTTTACTTAAAATACAAGTACTTTAGTGCGAAAACAATTTCCATAAAATTTTATGATTGCGAATATATACGAGGAGTTTTATGAGCTCTCCAGCAGCGAATGCATTAAACACATAGCAATATATACATATATTATATGTAGATATGCATAAATGTTTGTTATTGATAATATACAAAATTGATTATTTTAATATATAGATAACAAAAATGTAGCAAACATATCAGCCTATAAATGTGCCACTAATCCTCTTCTTTGCTGTTGACAAATAAGATTAGATTAAGATTAAGATTGAATTTCTTAAGTAAGGCTGAAGGTTACATTTGCTGGGAAAATTAATGGATTAAACCGAATTGGTAAACAAAAATCTTGAAACAATAGCCTGAAATAATAAAAAAAAATACCATTGGATAGGTCGTTAATAGAAATGCATTACAATCGATTGTAATAAATGATTAAAGATAGAGCATAATCTGTGGTAATTGTTTTTGTTAAATAAATTTATTTTAAACGTTTTTTAACTTCATTTTTGGGACTAGGTATGAAAATTTCATTTTCTCTCTCTTTGAGAATATTTACGTGACAACGTGCAACTGTGAATTTTGCACGTTTGGTGTGTTCACAATGGCATATTTCTGTTAACTAAGACGGCTTGTTTACAAATTAAATAAATCGAAAAATAAACGGGATAAAATAAAAAAAACTCTAGAAAAGGAAACAAATCGTCGAAAGTCTTAATGGAACTGACCAGAAGCATAAAGCGTTTGAGTCTTACTACCTGAACATCGGCGTGAATTGCTTTTAAACTAAGGAATTTTTCCAACAATGAGACCAAGTATTGTCTCACATTTCACGACCACAAATTGCAATTTTAATTAAGCTCATAAGAATAATAATTTTGAACATAATTTTTTTCTTAATTTACACTTGATGCTAAATGATCTGATACATGCGTATCAGCTGTGTTGTCTCGCGAATTGGGAGTTCACCCCAAAAAATGTTATGCACAGAATCTCCTATTATAATCCTCAACTAGCTGACAGAATCACAGCATGGTGTAGTCATCGCTAAATGCAATTAAACT